GTGGTTAGGAGGTCGTCTACTTCAACTTACCCGAGGTCCAACTTACCGTTCTTAAGTAAGATTAGTATAGTCCACGGCGCGAAGCGCTGCGCACACCTTTAATTTACATGCTGAATAACCTGCTCCCAACGGCCGCGGGAAGCAACTTCAACTACATTTTTCCACTTTACACTTCTAAAAATTTATTTCTCTGCCTATCCTATTTCCCCACCCCACAAATTTCTACAACCACCGTTTTTGCAGGACAAATGCTGGGACTAGGGGTATACGAGTGTGGCTACATAAGCTACTTTTGCCAAAAGTCTGTATTCCTACAGGATTGCATGACAATATTTCAGTGATATTTTCTCATCAAAAACACATTTCGGAATCCTGGTCAATATTTCCTACTGTAAGTCTCTTACTGACTGATGGCAAGTAATTAAGGTCTGCTAGCATCTTTGGCCTCCCCCAGTCGCCCTCTAAACTGTCCTTATTTTCCTACCCTCTCAGCAACCTCGTGGCCGAAAAAGCATCGATATGGGAGTGACCGAGGGACCGCCACAGTTTGTCAGTCACCCCGTAGCTCAGATGGCTGTTGGTGAGGGTGACGGTTGCACCATCAAGGCCGTTATTCAACCCGCTGGCGATCCCACGCTGGAAGTGGTCTGGCTCAAGGATGGCGTTGTGCTCGACGCTTGTAGGTCCCCTCACCCGCTTCCTACTTTTTATTTTCAATCTTGCATGCGAGAGGTGTTGAAGATCTTTCTGCTTTGGCTGGATTGTTTTTGTTGCGGTATGTATGCAGTCTGTGGTGGTTTCCAGACCGATAAAACATTCAGGCGGAACTGGACTTATCATTTCCAGCTTGCTGTATGTCGTCAGCCAGTCATACTCCAACCTAGGCCAATAAGTCAGCGATTTAGGGCCCCAAAACACTTGAGTTCTATTGGCAGTGATAGGGGATATGCAAAATGACACGGAGGCGTCATCGGACAAAACTTCCTACTTGCAGACTGCTTATGAGTTTTCGGATCCTTCGAGGTGTTTTCGCACTTCCCACTAAGCTTTCAGCGTCCGTAAACTCGCAGAGTCTACGCAAAGCTGCGTCCCTCAAGTCGTTTATGGTTGTAGACTTACGGTTTTAAAAATGACACTGCTTTCAAAGCAGTAGCCTTTCAAACCGCTAACTGAGATAGCGACAGGACCTAGAGCTCTAAATCGAAGAAAAAGACTTAATAAAAGGGTCTGACAACTTGCGTTTTCGTAAATTAGCCCTCAACATTGTATTGCTAACACGGATGGTGGTTAAGGTGTATATTTAAATGAACGCAAACGTTTCGCAGTACGTCCACACCTTAAGCTGAGGAAGAGAATTGCTGTAGCTATGTTTAACTAAATGCGCAGTAACTTGTTTGAAAATAACCATTTAAAGTGTAGACGTGATGCTCTAGAGCTAATAGTATGACAGTAGACACTTTTTCAGAACCAAAAAGCTACCCTTTTCAAGTATTAAATTTGGAGAAGACGCAAGGTTTCACAAAATGAGGATCAGAAAAATTACTTTTGTGAATATTTTCGATAAAATATGTTTGAATTTACGAAGAAATTGAATATAAATGATAAAAAATACATGTTTCTTAAGTAGCCATTTTTTATTACAGTGAATACTTTTTTGCATGTGAAACACTGGTATCCTGCCTTTGCCAAAATATTGGGACATTAGATTGCACAATAATTAATCTTACTTCCTCCTTCTTAAATAAATCGTTAAAACCGAAAGTACATTTCACAATTTCATTCATGAGGAAGGGCATCTACTGTACTGTGAATCGTACAGGTTTATACCTGGATTGGAATTTCTGATAAAAACAAAAGGTGCCGTGATGTAGTGGGCAGCAAAGATTCGCTGATATTTACCACGTAAATGTCACATTCACTAGGCAGCAGACGTCCACTCTGGTGGGGAATCAAGCCATTGACCGGGAATCCACATCGAGTGGCCCGCTGACCAAACCATCAGGGACAGTCTACCGGATATAAACATATCAATATTCCCGGAGAAGCAGGGCCGTTCACCAAGAGAGGGTTGTTAGAGGACTGATGTTTTGGAAGGCTGAAACGTCAGGCTCGTGGCTCTCGTTCTATGCTGCTCCATTCCCTGTGTGTAGCCTGGCAATACTGATTGGGCCGCTTCGTATGGCTTGCGTCTGACTGCCATTTGTGTCGCCGCAGCTATGTTGACCGTCTGCGGTGTTGCATCTGCCCCTGTGTCACCATTGCTTGTTTCACGCCCGCGCTCATTGGCCGCCAGTTGTAAAACGTCGACCCGCAAATTATCATGGCTTGTTTCATCCCGTGCACCCCGATTACAGAGATAGTTGGCGGCTCCGATTATTTCACCCCGTGCCTGTCCCCTGATACGACGGTTCGTAAAACCGGATAGCGGGAAGACAAATTGATGTGGCGGTTTACTTGCGACTTTGGGTTCAACCTTCTTACAGCCAATGGACGGTCATGCTTTCGCGTTTGTGGTTATTGGCCGGTTTCGCCAACATAGTTGTACATAGATAGAAGAAGAAGTCATGTTCATCACCGGAATCATTATTTTATTAGCCTGCGCTTTCAACTCTTGCGGGAGTACATCGTGAGAGATAAAATCGTCAACGAAAAATAAGTAAAATGTATAAGGAAAAAGAGGCAATTAACAGTCATGGGAGCGAAAGAGGGGGAAGAGGAGGACCAATTAAACAGCAGTTGGACATAGTTTATCGAATACCATGTCTAAACTGTCCCAGAAATTACACGGGAAAGACGGAATGCATGCTGGGTTCGTGCATACACGAAGATAAGCTAGCTGTTCTGCGGGGTGACGGGTGGGTGACGGCCCACACCTTTGAGAGGGTCAAGAGCTAACTTTCGCAGCTGCGAGGATAATTGTCCACGCTGGCAGCAAGACAGGCCGAGAACTGATTGAAGCCTGGGCGTTGGATGACAATCGACGCATCGAACTGGCGCCCGCATATGCTGCCCTGCGCCGGTATTTCCAGACTCACCGCACTGGTGGTTAACTGCTCCTCCCCCTCCCCCCTCCCTCATCCGCCCCATAATTGCACTGAATTCGGTTAAAATTGCTGACTTCTACTGGCTAGCGAGAGAGTCATTCGGTTGCATCACTGGTTGCCGAATTGTGGAGGTAGACCTGTAGGTAATTCCCGGTGAATTTTCTTCCTTTTTCTGAGTTAATAACTGGCAATCGTACTTTCAAAAAATATGAATATGAATATTTCTATAGCATATATCCAAAGGAAAGTGTTACTTACGACCATTAGAACCGCTTCATGTTTACATATATAATGTCTGTTGCAGTCACTGGTGTATAAAGATTACCCACATCTACCGGCATCTGTGACCCGCAAGGTCTGCATTTTTAAAAAGGCGTCCCATATAGAACACACTGTATGAGTTTCAAAATCGGCATCCCAAGAAAAATGATTTGGTGGAAAAAAGTTCTTTGGGAAACGTAAACAAATTTATTGTAAATGTTCGACTCTGGCGCACCAGGCCGTCGTCGGACGTGTGGAAAATGCGTACAGAAAAGTGCGTATTTTAAACATACCGAGAAAAGCTAATTCCTTTTCATTTTTTGACACCTGTCTTCTCATGCATCGATGCACAAACTTTCTGGCGTGACCATTTTTTGAGAATAGTTTGAACAAGTACTTGAGGTCATTTTGGTAAAGTTCGGTGCTAGAATTGCGTGTCCTTGCTCTACTGATTAGGGTGTTAACAATTAACAGGATGGTTGCTCTCGTAATGAAGGATAACATCTGCATAGGCCTTTTTGCGATAAACCGATGTTTGAAACCTTCCATCAGTATTCAGCTGTACGAGGGCTGCGATGTAATTTATTGTGAACAAACAGGAAAGTCAGCCTCTAGACGCTTACATGAACATCAATTAGCCTGAAGGAGGCGACATCACCTGTCCCAAGTCGTCATGCATACATTTGAAACTGGGCAAGAATTTTCATGGGACCAAACCCGCATTGTACGCTCCTGCCTATGTAGGAAAGGCCGCGAATTTTTAGAGGTCATTAACTCAAACGACTCATGCATCAATAGTCACGTTAAACTAGATTCGATATACACCAACCTCAAAGAAGCCAGGAAAAGACGTCAACCAACAAGCCCTACTATTAACCAACGATGATAAATCATTTTCGATTTTTTAAGTATGTTTAAAATACGCACTGTTCTGTACGTATTTTCCAGACGTCTGACAACGACCTGGTCTGCCAGAGTCGAAAATTTACAATAAAGTTTGTGAACGTTTCCCATAGAACTTTTCCTACCAGATCAAAATGTGTGCCTATCAATTCTGAGAGTTGAAAAACACTGAAAGCCCTTCATTGGCCCTCGGGTATCCTGTCATACAAATAACAGAATCCTGAGGTGTGGTTTCGTTTCGAAAAGATTAACTAACTTTGTGCATCAACCTAGGAAAAATGTCAGTTTTCAAACGAGTCTCTTTCCGCCCATTTCGCAAAATTAACACCTTAGAAAATTACACTTTAACTAATATAAATTTTTAGACTTGAATTTCGATGTCCCAGGATGTGTTTTATAGAAAGTGTGCACTAAAATATTACTTCTCGCCCTCATGTGGTAGCAGATTTCATCTTTTTTTTAATGTAATGCCTGAAGATATGATCAGTTTTGGTTTTAAGAAGCCTTTTTAATTGCCGAATAATCTGTTGTCTGAACCACCGTAAAAATTGCACTCAGGCTTCCCAAAATACATGCCGCATACTTTCCTTTTAGGGAAAATCATTAATTTATCTTTGTCGCTAAGAGGTCCCCACAGAAGATTCACAGAATTTTATAATGGATGTAGACATTTAATAACATTCATAGGGCGCTTTACAGTTTGCAAAATCTCAGTTAGAAACTTTCGTAAAGAATCCTATGGTTACAGTTATTAAGACTGCGCCATATCCATCGTAACATTGTAGGGGTCCTATACGATGACGTCCTAACAAACCAGAGCAATGCAGCATTCTCCCTATACAGGGAGTATACAAAAAGCATTTTGAGGAACCTGGATGCAAGTGTAACGTTCGACAAGAGGTCTTTGTTCAAAGCCGGATTCCTGATGCGAGCAACTCATCTGGTGTTAGGCTGTACGCTAATTGATATTGCAGCCCACCTGAAGTTGTCTTCGATCAACAAAAAACAAACTTTATAATTTCGGTTAAAATTTAATGGGGCAGCTTATCTACAGTAATTTAACTGCATGTGGAACGGTGCGCAAATCCTAGTCACCCCTTATCCAACTTGTTGCCATAGGATTAAATCCGGAGATGGTTTCAGCAG